GTTGCTTTTCTAGGTTTTTTTTATCTGCAATTAAGAAACTGAATAATCTTTGCATGGCACTTCTTGTTTGGGAGGTCCAACATTCTACAGGACRTGTATATTCCATCACTAGTGAAAAATGACTGTCAGCTCGGCAGCAAGTGGATGTAAAAAAGGAGCTGGACATCAGTGTAGTCATACCACTGTGAAGCTGCTAAATAGAAACTAGTAACAAAACTGCTGGATCCAACCTTTGGTGTAATCAGCAGAACTGTTACTAAATTCTGTTGGAAAGGATCCATAAATAATTTTTTTTCTCTAATTTCTGAATTTCTTCTTTTTTTCCAATTTCTATTTTGTCCAGAGAGAGAACTTCTCATTAGCAACAAAAACTTACTTTTCTCTTCTTTTAAATACACACAGGGCTGACATTTTCAGTTTCTTTCTTACCTATAGACCAAAACCACTCACCAAAATTTACCCTTCATATTTTTCTCAGAACTAAACATTTTAAAGAGGTTGGATCAAATTAATTTATGCATCAAGTTCACAGGACTAATTAACAATCCCAAGGCCCTGTGCTAAACATTTGTTATGTAGTCCTGTATAGACCTCCACAACCTGGTGCTGCAGTGGTGTGATTAAATCCCCTGCACTGTTAGCTGCTGTAGGAGCACAATACCTGGTTTTCAAAATTATGATCTCTTCCATGGTTTTCTCATTTTTTAGCATCTGAAGAATACTTACAACAATGTTAGGCCCATTAAAACCAAAGGATTAAATTTTTTAATTCTTCTACYTTTGTTGCCATTTGTGTTATTCCTGAGAACTCTTCTACAACTGAGACAGCAATGGCATGAAAAATAGACATCATTCTCTGATCATAATAATTTTCAGGCTAACTGTGACTTTTACATCCATAGATACATTGTTCCACTACCTGATGTTGGGGATTTTTTTTCTTTTTTTTTTTTCTTTCTTTTTTTCCCCCTTTATGAGGAGGCTTTTAATTACTGAGTACATTTATAATGCTATGCCGGTATCAGCAACCTTTGTGGATTTGTAGGAGTGAACCTGCTTAATGAAAGAGCTGATACTAAGGGTCCAGTGCCTATGTTCACTTTCAGGGTCATTTTACTCTGAACTAGCTCTGATCTGGTCTTGCAGAACTCTTTGCTGTGCAGTGCAATGAGGTACGATCCTGAAGCAAACCTCCCACTCCAGCYTTATCTGACAGGAATCTGGCTCTTCGTGTCCAAGACAGATTCATGATGGGAACCAAAACACCATAAATACAGATAATATGAGATTTGCTTGGGAAGTGTATCCTTGATCCAAACTAAAGCCCTGAAGTAGACACATCCTGAGTGATCTGCTGGAGGGATTTGGAAGGATGTCAGGCAACAGACAGCTAATACCCAGGATGGAGCACTGTCTTCAACAGCTTGCACTGCTGGAGGGAACAGACAGAAGTTTTATGCCCAATGGTGGGATTTGAGAAGCCACAAGGCATCCTACRTGTTCACAGCAATGAAGTCCCTTGGTGAGCCAAAGATATTGATTTATTTCCTTCTCCACTGAAAATGCAGTCCCTGTTTCAAAAGTTCTGCTTACAAACCACAGAAAACATGTGGTTACAAAAAGAAGCTCTGCTGGGAGATGCCTGTGCTGCATTTTGAGCTAGGTAGGCAAATGTCTCACATGTCTAATGCATGGTTGGACAATGTGATTTAGTAAGAACTTGCAGCTTCTCAGGAGGAGACCATTCAGAAATAGTAACTGGCATGTACAGCAGCTGCACTCTGCTTTTCAGTGATTTTTTCCACCATTTTAATGAATGTTTTATGTTATCTTTTCTTGCTGCTCAATTGTCCCAGCTCCTGTTACTGAACACAAGGGCCGCCTTTCACGACCTGTATCACTCCACACTGACATAATATACTTACAATTCTGGAAATTCCAAGGCATGGATACACTTCACGGTAACTCCCAGGCTACTAAGCCCTCTTGGAGTTAGCAATTTTACTGTATTTCATTCCACAAAGGAAATCCTACCCCCAAAGGAAGCAGTAAGCTCTGGCCACCCCTATAGCTGATAACAATCCAAGACTTTCATCACATTTTTTGACCCATTCTTGGCTTTCAGGAATAACAACAGCTGCTGAAAGCAATACAATTTTTAGTTGTGCTTTTTTACCTTCCCCCCCTAGCAAGCATCCTTATGAGAGTCTGAGAGATTAAATAGCCTTGGGGTAAATCAATCTCCAACAGCTGTTGCCTCCAGCATTCTTGACTGTCAGTGACTTCATTGAAAACGTATGAGTGATCTTTCAGCATGTTCACAAGTGGAGAAACGTGTCAACTGGGAAATCTCTTTACCCCCAACCCCATCTTTGTGAATGTACATGGACGGTTGAATAGTTTCTCAAAATTCCCAGTGGTTCCATGACATTTCTTTCTTTATCTCCTTGGTTTTGTTTGTTAATCTTTCTTTAATGCAAAGATAGCTCTAAAAAGGATGAGCATGAATTATGTTTTGTCAGCCTGAATATTCCCTTCGAGGGCCATTTGTTTGGATATGCAAATCAGTTTTCATAATGTAAGAGGCTAGGGCAGAACTGACTTGATGAGGACTGAAGTTAAGAATGTGGACTGAAAAGCAAACAGAAAACTGTGGACCACCACAGGCAGCTCTAATTTCTGGTCAGTGCGGGCAGCTTTCACTTTGATGGCTGCTCTAACACCCCCATTCCTGAGCACTGGAGACACAGGTGGCACATGGCCTCTGTCCCCAAACATGACCTCCCAGCAGGGCTCGCTGACACCGCTGACACATCCCACGCTGTGTCCAAGGCCAAGGACTGTGTCTGTGGGAACATCTCCAGCCCATGGTCCAGCCCAGCTTCCCTCATGCCAAGGCAGCTCTGCCTCAGCTGCTCCCACCCTGGCAGTGGGACAGGAGGGGACATGGGGCTTTCTTAGGAGAAATGAAAGGTTTGACTAAGTTTGACTCACAAATCTGCTCAGAAATAGTGATGTCTAGGGASTCTGATCAATTATTTTTGCTGCTCTAGTCACCCTAGTACTGCACTAGCAGCTGCATACTTAGTGTGTGCCTAAAGCTGTCCCTGACTCCATTTATACATTTATCAAACTCCATCTTAAGTTTATTCCCATTTTTTTGTATTGAGGAGGCTGATAAATAAATTTACTCCTTTGACAGCAGAAACTTGCTTCTGGTTTCTAACTAGATAYATCTGAGCATAATTTGCAYRTGTTTGTTGATTTGATAAATTTTATCTTTTAGCTTAAGTAGCTGTTGTCCATCTCTGATTTTTGGTGCTGGCTTTTGTGCATCCATGACTTTTGGTGCATCTATCACTCTTTGTTTACATTTTATGAAAGCCTGTTTTCTATAAAGCTGCTATGGTAAGTTAGATCTGCAACCTGGGACTGAGTAGGACTCTCATGCTAATGAATTTCTGGCCCAATAAACTGTTTCTTTGAACTTGAACTGTAACCTTAAAATTCAATTTTAATCAATAATCTGAGAATTCATTCCTATTTTTAACTGCTGATTTCCTCTATCTGGGAAATAGTGAAAACACTCTTAAAACAGAATAAACTGGGCATGTTTCACCTCCTGAAGATTTTGAATTGACAGAAAGATTCTCATTTGGTTATRGGTTTTCTTCTTTCTTCTGTTAAAGGTCAAAGTCACCTTTTTTGAGATGCTCTGTGAGGCACTTGCYTTTACTAAAACACAGCATTCAGTGCTGTGTATTCCCATCAGAATTCATGGGAAAAATGAAGAGTCTTTGGCTATGTGTCACTTACCAAGCCACATAACTTGCCATTGATATTCTGTGTCTGAAATCCTGGTCTCACATCCACTGGCAKTGAAACATTGATTGCCTTCAATGGAGTGAACATTTCATACTGCAGGTTTAACAGATGWGAACACTGTGAGTTAATTTATCTCATTAAAATGACCAGTCCTTTTCACTAGAATCATAACTCAATTAAGGATTTGGAGGATTCATATTTCTTTTAAAGCACTTGAAAAGCATTCCAGAGCTTTTCTTCAATTTTGAATTCAGGGAACTGTGTCCAGTTTTGGGGAGGCTGTCCCCACCAGTCCTTCCCTAATGCTTGATCAAACTAAATTTCCAGACATGCAAAGTTTTTGTCACCTTGAAAGGTGACTCCTCTGGAATCACTGGATTATCATATCACACACAAACCCAGTGCAGGCTTTGGCAGATCTGTGAAGAGTGYTGAACCAGAGTGGATCTCTGCTGTCTCTGCTGAGGATTTACCAGGCTCTTAATGCTTATCATGCTTCTGCATGGGAATGAGACTTGCATGCTGGACAGGATTCAGATTTCAAAACTGGGGAATTTCTTGAAATCTCGTTTATTTCCTACTACAGTGTGATGCTGAGGTGAAAAAAAAATAATCAGAGATAGATCTTCACTGTATTAACTGTGCTTTATATGAAATTTGAGGTATTCTGAAGCATCAATTAAGGAGGGATCAGCTATGTTAATTTACACTTCCAGTTTACAAAACTATCCAAGCATCTCCTACACAGTGCTTCAAAAGTAGCCTGAAGAGAAARAGAACCCTGAAGCCTAAACTTTTATGAATAGGTATTTTATCCCACAAGGCAGAAGAATTATTATGAGTAAATGGTGTAGCAGAAGGAAAGGACAATTCCATACATTGATATAATATGACTGCCATGAAATTTTGCAGCAAACAGTATTTATTATGCATAGGACTGTACCTGATTCCCCTGTAGCCAAACTGTCATCCCAGATGATAAGATATCTATTCATCTTTACCCATAGTCACAATTATTGGGTAAAGTGAAGTAGAGAGCTGAATTGCCTGGCTTGAGGTCATGCTGCTGATCAGTGGATGYCAGAGTTATTTATAAGAAGCACAAAGAGCTGCTCATTATGTTCCCACAGCACAAAGAGCTCCAAAGGGACTTACAGCTTGCAAGTTTTACACTCTTCATTTTGTTAAGCCAAGGGTTTGAAAATTTTGTCCTTGGGATATACATTTACTTTTCATATATTACAGTGAGAGCAGGAGGAGACATTTACAAACTTTAGAAAATATGTGCAATGGTTTCYCACACTGGAGATTTTAATTTTTGTATTTGACACCAATTAAAAAGCAAAGGTGAAGTCTTTGTGGAAAAGAGAAATCTTACCTCCGTGRTTCAAATGAACTGTCCGCAGTATATCAGCAAACCGTGCTCTTCTCAAGTACTTTCATGAATGTCAAGGTGACAATGTCTTTCACCCAATTAATCCCACAACTCCAATTTGACTGTGCTCCCACTCARAAAACCTCAGGCCAGCAGGCCAGATTTCTTCTAGTAATTAGCCTTTAACCTTCCCAGTCTTTGCTTTTTCAATTGCCACYGACTCTGTGTCAGACAGGAGTTTTATGCTTCTTTTAAAGCCTATTTCACAATGGCTCTGGCTTGACCTTCGGAGTATGTGCATTTATAAGGAAATTATTTGAGAGAACCTTTTTAACCGTTATTTAAGAAAGTAACTGCTGGGACTTCTCTAGAAAGGCAACTTAATGCTTGCCTGTGTGTCCAGATGTTATTCTGTCCTCCTGACTACTTTAGATTTTGTTCTTTTTTTTTATGAAGTACAGAAAACTATAAATCTGCCAGCATTTGGCATAATCACTCTGTATATATTAGAAGCAAATAGTGGTCATTTTACAAATTCGGAGACAGTCTAGTGCAGTTCTCTAAGGTCAACACTAAGTAGTCCCTACTGTGCCCACATTATAAATTAATGTGCATAGAGTRAGAACATTCTTCTGTATCACACAGAACCAGAAAAATTCACTCCATCAGTAACAGGTACCTTCAAAATCAATGGATGGCAGCAGAAGTGGACCTCTGGAGATGCATTGTCTTTTCAAAGGCCATGGTCAGCACCATAATGSAGTCCCAGGTGACCATCAGTTTCAAAAGTGTATAAAAATCATTTAGGTCTCCTGGATCTAGGAGCAACCATTCAGGAATCCCAGAATCACAGAATCATCATGGTTGGAAGAGGCCTTGAAGATTATCTTGTCCAGCTGCCAAACCAGCAGCACCATAATCGTTTATGAGCCAATCCCAAGTGGCACATCCAGACATGTCTTGAACAATTCCAGAGACAGTGACTCAAACACTCTGGGCAACTTATTCCAATACCTAAACAGCCTTTCAGGGAACTTTTTTTTTTTTTTTCAAATATCTAATATGAACCTCCTCTGCTGCAATTTAAGATAATTTTCTCTCATCCTTTGGCTTGAGACACAGCAGAAGGGCCCAACCACCACATGGCTACAACTTCTTTTCAGGGAGATGTAGAGAATGGCAAGGTCTYTCCTGAGATTCTTCTTCTCCAGGCTAAATACCCCCACCACCCTCAGCARCTCCTCATCAGACCTGTGCTCCAGACCCTTCACCAGCTTTGTTGCCCTCCTTTGGACATGCTCCAGCATCTCAGTGTCTTTTTTGAAGCAAGTGACCGAAAACTAAACASAGTAATCACAAAAAGTAGATAGTCTGGCATTTCAACCCCAGAGAAATATTGTTTGAAAGAACCACAGAATGTTAAAGTATCTTTTAGATTTTCATTTTATTTGGCAGGATCTAGAGGCAGTTCTGAAGGGTGCTGGCTGAAGTTACTGAATCTAGAGGTGAACGCAGATTTACGGAAAGATGATGGAGATTCCTGGGTATTCAGYTGATCTGAACTTATTTGAATGTGGTTCTTCCAAAGTTCCCTCTCACGTTTTTTCACCACACTCAGATGGTTTCTGTGACTCTCACACTTCCCTGTATTTTCTGTCCTCTAAATGATACAGGTAAGAGTTAAAATAAATAMAAGTGTGCATGAAGAGCAGAGGGCTCTTTATTTGTGGAGCTTATATGAAATACTCAAAGAGGATTTTTTTAAATCACTGAAAATTTCATCATGCCTGAATTCAGTCTACACAGAAATCCCCACAAATGATATGGGGACTCTTGTAGGGAGAATGCTGGACCTCCTGATCTACTGTTGAATGCCCCTTCTGCAAGGGCTGGCAGAATTCCTGAAGATAGCTGTGCCTGTCAACGCCCCTCCTGTAAGCATTGGAAAGCTGCTTTCAGACCCTCCCAGTGCCTCCTTTTTCCCAGACTGAGCAAACCTCTGTTCACAGGTCAAATACCCCAGCTTGTCATCATCTTTCTTTCTCCAGAAGGACCTGAGTTCTGCTTGTGGTGGTGTCCTGGCTGYAGGTCTAATCCTTGCAAAATCATCTATTTTCTCCAGCCCAGCAGAATTRTATTATCAGCTGTAGGTGACTGCATAGAGTTTTGGTTTGTTTTGTTGTTTTTTTCTTTTTTTTCCCCAGACAATCAATAACCACAAGTAGATATCAATTGCACTCTTACATGACAGAGATTCTGATCCTGAAAAACCAGATCTGATCTCCAAAGGGGAGACTAAAGAAAAAGTCATGAACAAAGCAGCTGTTGCAACTGTGCATTTGTCCATGAAGTGTTTAGGTTGCACACAGCCTCTAGCAATTAGTAAATAAAGAAATTGWTTGGGACAGCTATTCTGCTCTGAAGGACAGTATGCTTACCTTAACAATACGATAATAATAAAAATTAAAACAAGTTCTTGCTAACTACCCCTGTCACTCACAGAAAGATTCAGAATTATCTGCACAGTTCTGGAAWTTATTTCATTCCCTGAAGCATTTGAAATGGAACTGAACAAAATCTACTCTAAGTTTTGTGAAGGAACTGCTGAAATTAAACTACTAAAAAATGGTGGCAAGCAAGAATTAAATTAAGTTCTAAAACTGCAGATAAGTATCTATAGCATAAGTCTTTTTGATACCTTCAAAGACTACTCATTTTCTTAGCTAGCATGTCTGTTTTTAATGACTCACGTTTCAAAGTAACAATAAAGCATATATTCTGGTGCTTTTAATGATTTTTTTTCTTTCAAGTCCAGTGAAAAATGTGCATAAAAAGCATTTCATTTGCTTAGAAATAAATTTGTTGCCCTTGAGTTTCATTTGTCTTCATTAATACCATTTCAGAGTTTTGCAGGGTATCATTAGATGTGCTTTGTCCCTAATAGGCAAGGTCTTCTGAGTCTGGTGTTWTACATCTGATAAAATGGACAAAATGAACTTATCCTAGATAAATCTGTTTTTTCTAACTTGGTGAACTTAATTCACCAAAATATTCCAATTTTCAGATGTGTATTCCTGAATATAAGACCAAAGATGAAGCTCTCATATTTTCAGGATGCTCATTTTCTTTTTTTTTCCTCTCCCAGAGYTGTATTTCTCCTCCTACTGTGGGACAGGTAAAGGAAGGAAAATAAATGAGGCAGTGTTTCAAATTGAAAATCTCTCCTGTAAATAAGTTTGTCCCYATTCTTTGTTTCACCAGTAATGGACTTTAGTGGAATTATTTACGAGGTGAATTCACCTCAATAAAACCACAGACATTATTTAGACAGTGGCATAATTGTGAGCAGCATTTTCAGAGAAATAAAGGTCACTGTCTCTAGCAAAGCGCTTCTCACCTAAATTAAGATGGGAAAAGGGAAGTTATCAGCCTTCAGCTTTTTCATGGCTGGAGAAGGGAAACCGTATGTACAGACACAGCTCCTGCCTCTGATTTTAAAGGAAAAACGGGTAGAGGGAAATGCATCTTGGAGAAGCAACATTGCCTGGCCAGCTGAAGTGGAGATGCTGAGGCACAGGAACAGCGTGTGAGGCAAAGGTAATTCAGCACATTAACAACTGATAGACTCTGTGTGACTGMAGCGGGGCTAAGCTGGACCTGGTGAGCCTGCTGCCAGCTCAGGGCAAGCCAGCTTCCCTCCCTTATGACTCAGGTGCCACACACCCGGGCTGAAGCCCAGTTTGCCATAACCCCACTGCTGTGGGTGAGTTTGCTCAGAGCCTTTTGCAAGTAGGGGTTTGGAAAGCACCGTATGCCAACCCATTTCTCTTAAACTAGCAYATCTTTTTAAAGACTATTTGGATAAGCATCATCACTTTCAGGAAGTTTATTTTCTTTCCTGAGTAATTGTAAATGTCTAGAGTGTCTTAATGGTCCTTTGTAGTTATCTGCTCATGAATCTATACAATCAGGATCTTGGTGCCAAACTTCTTCCTGGTTCACAAACAGCACAATCTCATTAAAGCCGATCAGTTTCCATGGGGAATCTATCAGGAGCAGTTTTGGCCTTGAGTTCTCATACTAAGTGGAAAGCAGTGCCTAAAGCAAWGCCTCTTGGCAGAGTCCAGAATTCCATCAAAGAGACAGACAATTAGCAAATGATTAGTATTCACAAACCATGAGAAGCTGCCAAAAAAATCTTCTCTAATAGGCTACAATGACCTTATTGGGGTAGATTTTTGCTGGACTGACAGTTCCAGCAGTCAGGCTGATTGTGCTGCTGACCATCTTCTCTCAATTTTTCAGAGACAAATCCTTCACGCAAGGATGGCTGTGACTTTGCTTAGGGTAGCAGGAGACACACAAGGGTTGGATGCTGTGACAACCGGGCATGGAATGTTGCTCAGGACCCAAATACTCTGCTATCATGTGGTCTGTGGAGTGGGTCCTTCTGTTCAGGCATCTTCTTTTGTGACTGGATGATTCTGTTTATCCAGTAATTAAAAGGCTTCTTATATAATATAAAGTGCAGAGTGGACCCTAGAGAAGACTTAGGCCTTGCAATGATTGGCAAAGTGATAGGTGCATAGAGAAGGAGTCCAAAATAGTCCAGAAGAAGTGACTTCTAGACTGCAGAGCTTGCTCCATTTGTCTGCCTATTAATTGCATGGCGAATACTCCACTGTCCAAAAAGAAAAAGAAAAAAAGAAAGAAAAAAAAAGCATGAATAATCCCTTATATAAAAAACTGGAACTCAGGAGTCCTTTGCCAAGTGAGTGATCTCACAAGGCTGTGGAGCCAGACTTATTTCTGCTTCCTTTACCTCACCCAAGTGTCTTGAATTCTCTTCCATACAGTGGGCCAGCTTTAACAGGAAGCATGAATAATATGTCATCTCCAGAATAACTGTGAGTGTGAAGGCGACRGGGATCTGTTGTCCAAAGAAAAACTATGCTGTAAAAATTAGGGTGAGAAGTTCTTGTCTGATGGTGCTTTGTCTTGAAGCAGAGGCCAAACTGCACAGCTGTAATACATCCAAAGTCCTTCTGGATCCAGGACACCATGAACAGGAGTTCATGCACAAAAGCCAAGCCACATACCCAGGTACTGGGACTTRAATCTTCTTGAATCTGGTCCTAGGCATGGGTTTCTTTCAGCTACTCTGTTCTGGACCTGTGAGAGCTGACACAATTATGTGTCAATTGGCCTCAACAATACAGAGACCCTGGAATATTTAGTTACATATACATGCAATTTTGATGCTTAAGATGAATAGGCTGAGTAAACCACCAAAAGCTTTCTGCTGACTGTCAAAAGAATATAATGGGTCAGMTGAGACCAAAGGGTTGGTTTTAGGTGGATACAGCTCCCAACAATTGCTTTGGAGGCTGATTTGGTTACATAAGGTAATTGGTAGGCAGCAGCCACAGCCCCACAGCAGCCACAGTGCTCTCAGATTTGTGTTCAATTACAGATTTAAACTCTGGCACAGTGCTCCTGCCATGGAGCACTTTAATTTTCTCTAAAGGAGTTCCCCAGAAGCACATTCCTGGCACAGTGTTTGATAGCAAATCTGGACCACTCTTGTGCAAGACAGCAATGCACAAATCTCAAGCAACTATCAGAGAGCACTTGGAGCTGAGTGTCCAGAAGAAAGATGTGCAGGAGAGAAAAAGCTAAAGGAGAAACCTGAATACATCAGGACTAACACAAACATAAAGCAGTGAAGAYTGGAAAAATTACACAGCTCTTCTCTGAAGTCACTTGAGCTTCCCCAGGAAGTTAAAAGCAAAGTTTTTACTGTATTTGCCCTTGTTTTGAGAGGGCATCATGGCTGATTCCCAATTCTTTAAAGTCCTATGGATAAACCAGAAGACAGAGTGTTGTGGTTTAAGTCCAGCTGGAAACTMAGCCCCACACAGGTTCTCACTTCCCCCTCAGTGGGATGGGGTAGAGAATAAAAAATTGAAAATCTCATGGGTTGAGATAAAGACACATTTTGGGTAAAGCAAAAGCAGTGTGCAAAAACAAGGAATTGATTTGCCCCTTCTCATGGGCAGGCAGATGTTGAGTCACCCRCAGGGAAAGCAGGGCTCCATCACAGATATCAGTGTTCTGGGAAGAATATACTCACTGTGTAAATACTCTCCTTCTTCTTTCCCAGCTTTATATGATGCTATACAGTATGGAATATCCCTTGAGTCAGCTGGGGCCAGCTATCCCATCTGTGTCCCATCCCAGCTCCTTGTGCACCCCCAGCCTCCTCACTGGTGGGGTGAGGAGCAGAAAAGGCCCTGACTCTGTGTCATCGCTGCTCAGCAGTAATGAAACATTCCTGTGTCACCACACTGCTTCCAGCACAAATCCAAAATACAGYCCTATGCCAGGAACTGTGGAGAAAATGAACTCTATCCCAGGCAAAAGCAGAACACAGAGGCACTTTGAGGATGCTGCAAGCRCATGACCAGAGTCTGTTAAATCGCAGAAAGCACCCTTGGCTTGCTGGTGTACTGCCTTCCCTCCCTGGGCTGGTAACTGAAGATCAACCCAGCAGCTAGGAAGAACATTGAAAAAAGCAGAAAATACTAGAGAAAATATTATTTCCTCACCTGGAAATCTGCATCCAGCAGTAGTGAGACCTGRCAAAAATGAAGGTGGGGAGAGGCAGAGGTTGGTTTCAGAAATTATCACAGGAATGGAGAATCCACACATGGGAATGGAGGGATAAAGGGATAGATTTACAGAGAACATCATCCAGCATCTTCCTGTAGACTTTGAATGAGCACATACAGGCCCTTGGAGAAAGGAGGATGTCACAATAACATATAGCAAAAAGGGTGTGGACTCAAATGAAAATGGGTGCTACTTCTTACCACTATTATTAGCCAGTATACAGACCACTATTATTACAGTATACAGACTTTCAGTGGCATGGAACAGGTTTACAGATGAGAAATTTCCTGTCATAAAGAATGCTACAGAGGGAGTGTCAGCATCACAGGAAAGCACCAACCTATCAAAATTAAAATAAACACAGACGTAAATAGATCTTCTCTTAAATCTGTGTGCTTGAAATGACTCACCTGAATTCATGCTCAGGCATTTGCATTAGCTAGAGGTTTTACACCCATGTTCAAAAATACTAGTCTAAAATTATTTGCTAGGAGATGATTGGCAACCCTTCTAGAGGGGACAAAGGTTTTCACTGAGATATCAAACTGTCGTGTTTCAGGTTAAGGAAGGATTTATTTAAGTTTAGAATCAGCTCCATATTGTGGCCATATTGCCTAACGAGTGTAGCACACGCTGTCACCATCAGTGCTTTCTGCTGTAGTTTGGTATTAGCTCACCACCTCCAACTCAATGCCCATTACCAGCACAGCCTTTTTGCCCTCAAGGCTGGGGCAAATGGAGTTGTCCCAAACTGCACTGCAGTTGCCTGAGCCTCAGGGTGTTCAGGAATTATGCAGAGAATGGGAAGCACATGAAGTTTACTGACAAGTGGCACTACATAAAGACAAGGTATTAGCAAAAAGATGGAGACTGCCGCAAGACTGACCAATGCCAGATCAACTGTTCTTGAGCTGTGCAAGTACCATCCCTCTGAGTCCTTCCAGACACAAGAGGAACATAACAGGCTCGAGGATAAGCTTCCCTTTGCTGCTCAGTGACCTCACCCTGCAATTCAAAGGGATCTGAAATATCTATATTCTGTTCTTTATACAAAGTGTTCACATCCTTCCTAATTACTGATCTATTCCCACAAGCATCTTAACTTCCTTTTCTTAATAACCTTCTAGATTTCRGCAAATASACATRAAACAATGGCTGATGCTAGTTTGTGCTAGGTGCAATATAAAAATAGAATAGGAGGGAAATTTTCTTTGAAGACATCAAGATMTAAACATGAAATAAATTGTGGAAGGGGAAATGCTGGGCAAGAGGGTGAAGTGACCTGCCTAATTATACAATCAGTCAATGGGAGAGAAAGGAAAAGGATGTGCAGATTCCTCCCCTTAGGGAACAAGCAGTTTATCATTTCACTTGCCTTGTTTCTGTTACTGATTCTGATGCACASATTTTCCCTTCTTTCCCCAGAACAAGTGCACCTACCCAATGTGCCAACAATTCCACAATATTTTCTGCCTGAGAGGAAAAGACTGACTCTTCCTCCTTGCCCCTCCGGTTGTGCTGCGCAGCTGTGATACTAGTTCTTTAATCATAGTGACAAGCAGAGAGGCTCTATGCAAATGTAAGCAAATAATGTTTGACATTTATATGAAGATGATAAAGACAAACATTGGAGGCTGTTTTGAGGGTGGAGAATGTTTGCACTGTTAGTAGAAGAGAACATGGAATTTAACTAAGCCATACTCCCAAGTCTGAGCTGACATGAGTTCAAAGATGGAATGACCTTGCTGGCTAAGTGGATGCTCCACAGGCTGTTAAATACATTAAAACTGAAGTGCAGCATCTGGTTTAATATCACTCTTTCCAGGATACACCTACCTTTATCCTCCTTTTACCMTCATTTCTAACAGATCTTTTGCATCATGTTAAATCTTGTATCGATATTTTTGTTTGTCAGTCCCCCCCATGTGAATTTAAAGAGAGACACAGAAGTTATGAATAGCTACCTTTTGGGAACTTCAGAACATCTGTGGCTTGATCTAAATTCTAYCAAAGGATCTTTCTGTTGACTTCAGCAGGGACTACCTTATCCTATTTATACATCCAACACAGCAGTAGACAAATCTCAGAGGAAATATGTAGGCACTCCTGTAATACCATAGCAATAATAAAATAATATTATCTTTAACAGTACTAGCTACATAAATATGGGTTTTCCAGATGCTCTTTTTCTGCGGTTGCTCCTATTTCTAACCTGAATTTGAGGCAGAGAAGCAGAATTTTAGAGGWGTATTTGCAAAGTGATTTGATGCACCATTATTAAATTCCCCCATCACCAGATGAAGCCTTTTTGTTTCAATCTTTCTTCAGAGATAGTTGCAATATATTCYCCTACAATTGTAATATTATCCTCCAACTGAAGGCATGAGGATAAACTTCTCATCAAAATACTCTCAGTTTTATAAGTGCAGCCTACAGGGCACTCTGGGTCTTTTGTATACAAAAGTAAGTGTAAGATAACTCAGTTTTTTACAGTTTGTAGTTTTTGACTGGAATTTGCCTAGATTGTTTTATTTTTGCTATCAGAGATGAGAGAAGAATTCAGTCATGAATCCTCTATCATCTTCTTTATGTCTAGAAATTTTCCAGCTTACTTTGTTAAACTTTCTTAGCATCTTATGTACCATTTCCTGCAGAGATTGTTGGATTACCTGGGCAATAATTGGATGTTGTCACTTGCTGGATGTTTAGATTCCAGTTGTGTTGCAGGGTGCTTTATGGGAAAACATTTCTTTTTTTCAGGGGACTGATAGAACAAACAAGTGCCTGGAAAAGTTTTTATGTCAAAACCAGTGAAACAAGCTATGGATGGATATTAATCTGAGGATATTGTAATTCTCATGTTCCATATTTTATGTAAACAAGTGAGGATTTGTCATCAGAGTCACAAGGTGACTGCTGTGAAAATGGTCATGTTGTAATATACACAACAAATCTTATTTATTTTTTTAAGTCCATATGCTCCCATAGGGTAGACTTTCCAGAAGCTTTGTAACTCATTGCCTGAAACACATGCCCACAGAGTCCCTGGGTGAGCATTCCTCTTTCACTTAATTGTCTCCTCTCCTCTTCATTGCTCTGGTGCCCACTGATAATAAACACAAGTGTGTTCCTGAACACACACCATGTTATTTCTTTTGCAAGTCCCTGTGTTACATGYCTATGAGAATGTGCTACCATCCACAAGCACATGAGGTAGGCCTGRTGTTTGTTGGAGAAGGGGAAGAAAGCCATGTGTAATTACAGATTTCCCTGCCCAGACTTTCTTCCACTTTCCTGTGAAACTGTGACAAAATACAGGTCCTCCACTTTGACTCATTTGACTTTAACAACTAAGAAGAGCTGTGTGCCTACCAAGGAGCAGTGTTTTATCACCTGAGGAACTGCCCTTTAGTTGGTACCAAAGTTCTGGTCACTATGGTGTGTAAGCTTGCTGGMAAAATCTGTCCTGACCATGCAGGTGAGATCCCTCATTATGTGCATGGAGTTGCTAGCTAAGAAAACAGATTGACAGTATTTTAATGAATATACTATGTGGCTTATCAAACATTATGGAATCTGTTTTTCTGATTTATTTTGTAAGTATTTTGTTGACTGCATTGATTGCACAGGAGAGACACTGTACCAAACTTGGAGACAACTCAATGGTTTACAACACCCTAATACTTGAGGGCAATAACTGGACAATGACTCATGGCCCAGAGTTAATGCTGAAGTTGTGAGTTAGAATATTGAAGAACTATAAAGAGATAAAAGCAACTGAAGATATAATGTCAGRCAGTCCAAGGTAACACTTTTCTTTCCTTATAGAAATCTACTTCAACAAAGTAATTCAGCCTATCTTGATTAAGGAAGGTGAAATAAATTACACGACAGATGTTCCTTACATTCTCTTTAAAATAGTGGGAACCTTGACAACTAGTTTTAACTAGACAACCAGTTTTAAGATGCTAGATCTCATGAAAAAGGATATTTAAAAAAATACTGGGTCTTATTTGAAGGATATTGAATGTATTGTTGTCAACTGGGCAAGTTTTCTGACCACACTAAGTTGTGTCAAGTCACTGTAGGGAAGGGATGCCATCCTGAGGAATTTAGATAGGCTGGAGASGTGGGYCTATGTAAACYTCATGAAGTTCAACRAGGCCAAGTGCAAGKTCCTGCACCTGGGTCATGGCAATCCCAAGCAAAAWCACAGGCTGGGTGAAGAATGGACWGAGAGCAGCYCTGGGGCAAAGGACTTGGGGTGTTGGTTGGTGAAAAGCTCARCATGACTCAATATTGCACTTGGGGCTGTGTCAAAAACAAGTATGATCAGCAGGTCAAAAGGGGTGATTCTTCCCCTCTACTCTGCCCTTGTGACACCCTGGAGTCCTGCATCCAYCTCTGGGRCTCCCARCACAAGAAAGACATGRACTTTCTCCCAGAGGRGGGACAYGAWTTAATCACAGGACAGGAGCTCCTCTCTTATGAAGACAAGATGAGAGAGCTGGGRCAGTTCAGCCAGGAGAAGAGAAGGYTCTGGGGAGATCTTAAAGAAYTTYYCTGTACCTGAATGTAGGCCTACAAGAAGGCTGGAGAAGGAYTTTTCACAATGTAGTGATAGGACAAGGGGGAATGGCCTTAAGCTGARTAAGGGCAGGTTTAGATTAGATATTCCAAAGAAGTTCRTAACTGTGAGGGTGGTAWGGTGCTGGAAGACATTTCCCAGAGAGGTTGTGGATACCCCATACCTGGAGGTGTTCAAGATAAGGATGGATGGGTCTCTGAGCAACCTGATATAGTGGAAGTTTCCCTGCCCATGTCAGGGGGTTTGGATCTTTGAGGTCCATTCCAACCCAAAACATCCATTCAATGATTCTACAATATTCAATATGAGGAAAGGTGAGCAACCTTTTCAAGTGGAACACAAGTACATTCAAGCAAAGTCACAATTACAGCTAAAGGTAGTCCACTAAATGTATGTTTTGCTGTGGCTAAGTGACTAAAGGAGATTCTTTCAAGGTTACAACTTAGAAATACTTTAGATCATTGACCCAGAAGAGCTTTGCAATGTCTCTAAAGTAGCTGTTGCAATCTGTT